GCTTGGTGTTATAATGTTAGTTAGACTCTTAAAGTAGATGTAATCAGCTTTCATTTGAGTTTCTCGGCTTCTGTTTTTTGTCAAAAACCCTGTACTTCTTTTGATCGTACAGAAACTGTCTGCTTCAAAAAGACTGAACTGTGCGAGGCATGATAGCACAAAGAACTGAAAGGCAGTGAACTGTACGTGAACAGAGAAGCCCGGCACCGATACAACCAATGCAACTTTAAGAAGTTTTCTCAGTGCGTGAGAAAAGCTGAACACAGCTGATTTTGGGTACATCCTTGCAACAACGAATGTGCTAGTTGCGAAGTAACATGAAAAGAAACAGCCTAGAAATGTGGAGTACTCTCTTCCTTGCAAACAAACCGGAAGAAAACTGAAAAAGGACTTTAGAGATTACAATTGATCCAGGATGTCAGCAGTGCTCTAAAAAAGTTCTGTGGGTACTGAGGCTACAGGCATCAGAAAACAATTCAAAAATTATGTGGTATTGCAGGTGCAGATGTCAATCCCTGTCAATATTTCGTCTCCCTTACTGGATGTAAGCAACCGCTTAGGCTTGAAGCCAATTGTATGCCACGCATCGGTCTGCTTGGCCAACTGGAAACCGCTTCGGAACACACCGACTTTTAATGCCGAGCATGTCGACATAATTGCTTCTCGATTCCTCCGTCATCCAGCTAACCGATGGTTCTTCACACTCACTGCCCAGGTATTTGAATAGCATCAAAACCGATGGACTAAAATGAACTACTTTAGACCGCAGTTTTTTCATGGCATACGATGTGAAGAAAAAAGAAGTTTCTTAATGTTCCTAAAGTTACAGATAGAAACAGAACTAGCACCAGCTCTATGTGCAATTGCTAGTGCATGTTACCATCGAAAGATCGAGGAAACAACAATGCAAGATATTAGAAACTCCTTATCAAAAGCGACGCACAGCATCGAGGCAAGTGTTCACAAATTACAACTTTTTAAAACAAACTGCTGCCGTTTGAGCGCAACCAGCCCTTATCTGTGCACCCGACATACCTTTGACGTTTGCTTTAACGAGTTTGTTTCACAAATATTTTCTCAGATTCTGCACGATTTCACATAAATGCTGTCATTAACCATACTTGTATCATTTGTCAACAACACTGCAAAATAATTTATTAATAACAAGTGTATAATGCTAGAACAAAAATATAAAAAGACTGTCTTAAGAAAGCAAAAACTTAAAATGCGACTTATTAATGCTTTCTGCAAGGGCAGGTGCCTGCTTTTTACGCTTTTTATGCGTTTTTTGCATCTATGCAATGCAAAAACGCATATTGTCGAGGGGTTGTCTGTGTGTGTGTGTGTGTGTGTGTGTGTATGTGTGTCTGTGTGTACGTCTGTTACGAGTTTTCATCTCGAGATCCACAAAAGCTACAAGACTGAAAATTTGGTGACTTAATCTAGACAT